ATGCAACTCTTGAACCCATCCCATCCCAATTCACTCTTTCCTGCTTGATCTCAGTCCATCTCAAATTATCCTACTTCTCCAAGCCCACCAAGTCACATTCTGTTCCATGCTCTCCCCTCTCATTCCTTGCATGGCCAAAATTGTCATTTGAGAATCCAGGCTGGGTCATGACCATCCTTCCTGTTACAGTAAGGTCCCCAAGAAAGCCAAATGGTCTCACCTTCCTCCAAAGCTCTAAGAACTAAGTGTGCATTTCGGTGCAAGAGAAGAAAATGAGTTACAGAGTCTCACTGTCGAAGGAGGAGTATGAAAAAAAGAGAGAGAGTCCAGGTGGTTGAGCTCTCAAGAGTCCAGAGGAAAAAACAGATGTGAATTTCCTTTTGTTTCTCTTAACTCACAAGAGTAAGGAAAGAGTTCTAAGAACCACATCATCATTTTCAAGTTGAGAAACTCCTACATTGGGTGGTCCAAGAGAGTCTTCAGTGAGGTGGGTCTGGAGTGACACTGATCTGGATCCACACTCTGGTTTAGCCATTGACTTCTCATGTGGATAAGTTAAACGTCTTCCCTGAACTTGTGTCTTTGTCTATAAAATGGGGATAATAACACTGCACTGGGCTGCTGGTAGAATTGAATTAATACACACAAGGACTTAAAACAGTATCAGAGAGGACTCAGTGAACATCTGCTATCAACATTACCCCTGGGGATCGAGAACAGCTTTCTGAGCATTGGACGAGGGAGGACCTGGTGAAGGCCCACAGACTTCCTGGCTCATTCTCTTGTCCTTAGTCCGCTTTTGTCTTTAGGGTTTCTGTTCAGCCCCAGCTTCCTTTCAATACACACATTTGAAGGAGTAGGTATGGCACTATGCCTATTGCATCTCTGGTTGCTAAACCTTCCCCAAACACAGGATTACTTTTGCAGGTTGGGAACCTGAGCCTTAGAGAGGTCTGAAGATCATCTAGGTCTCCCATAAAGCTCTGCTAAGCAATTAGAGTCTCTTAATCCTACTGGTTTGAAGATGGGGGTGAAACAGGCAGTCTCACCTTCAACACAGCTACACACATTCCATCCAGCCCTAGATATGGTCAGCACTCACCACTGTAGTCAGCTTATTTTTTTTAAAACTATAAACCCACAACTCAATTGCAACTGGAAATTCAAATCCATACACACATTAGTGACCCAGCAGCTAATGTCTCTCTTTGGCACAGCGTTGGAGGAAGAGTTTTGTGCCAAGGGCTTGTTTTTGCATTGGTTCTAGAAGTTAGGATGCTGTCTCGCCCATCTATGATGCTTAGTTGTGAGGAAAAGCAAGTGGGGGTCAGGTCTTTCTGTCGCCTCGTTACCTCTGCAAACTAGCTGACCTCCCGGACTCCTACAACTCCTGATTCAGCCTTATCAGTCGCTGGAAAACTGTTCAAGAAGAAAAATGTAAAAATCACTGATTGAACAGCTCTACATCAAGCACTAACTCTATGCCAGGTCCTGAGCAGGGTGATGGAGATGCTAAGAGAATTAAGTACTGCCCCTGCCTTCAGGAAGCCCACAGTTTAATGCACAAGGCACACAAACAAATACTTTTAATATAATTCAATTTGTACTATAACAGCATACTGGGTACAGTTAGTACCCTAGTCTACAAGGGGCCAACTAACACTCAAGTGAAGTCTGCAAAGCAGAGGTAATTTTTTTTTAACGTTTAATATTTGATTGTTTAAAGTCATGAAGTAGTTTAGTTGGCATGTGAAAAATCAGAACTTTGTTGGAATTCCTTGTACTTTAATATTGCTTTTATTTTTAATTAGTTAATAAAGGGGTGGGAGGTATTAGAGAATTTTCAATGCTCAGGGTTTCTTATTCCAGGGAAAAGTAGCTAGGTTGGCCACCTGATAAGGACCATCCTAAGGTTTCTAGGCTTGGGAACTGGAAGGCTGTAGATACCACCGGCCCACACAGGGACTACTGGAGGCTGAGGAGAGATGCTAATGAGTTTGCTTTGGGAGGGAAACATCTAGGTGGAAATGTCCAAGAGTCAGTTGGATATATGAGCTGTCTAGACCCGGAGTTTCTGTAGACTAGGAAGCCACCAGACATCCATCAGGAGAGATGTCTTGGCAAGAGAGATCTGTCTGGAAGCTTTAGAGTATGGTAGGGAAAGGGACGGATGTGGATGAGCTCACCCAGGGAGGGAAGAGAAGAAATGGGCAAAGTACACAGAATTGAATACAGCAGGACGCTGTACTCCAAGGCGGGGAATCAAGAACACTCGAGAGACAGGATAGAAATAAGTAAAATCAAGAACACTCGAGAGACAGGATAGAAATAAGTAAAACATAGTGTCCCAGAAGCCCAACGAAGAGAAATTATAAAAGGAGTGACCCAAAGCGTCCAGCACCACAGAAAGGTAAGGACAAAGTACAGTGGGTTTGGCACTTGGGTGGTCATTGGCGGGGAGGCTAGAGCGGTCCATTCTCTGGACAGAAGCCAAACTGTGGGGGGCGACTGGTAGTAGAGAAGGGAAGCTGAAGACCCCTTTGGAGATAACAGATTGTAAAATACAGAGAGAGACAGAGCAAAACTAGAAAGCTCAGAGAGGCCAGCAAGGCCAGGAAGGCTTCTAGGCTTGTTCTATGTTAAAGACAAAACTGTCCACAGAGCTGGGGGTGGTGTGCTATTGGGAGATAGATATAGAATGGGTATAGGGAGAGCAGGTAATCCTGGAAGCCGCTAAGGAGGCTGGGGGAGGCGAGCAAAGGCAAGTGAGAAGGTTCCCCTTTTTCAAATGCTTTCATTCATATTATCCAGTGATCACTGAACCAAAGAAGAGAGCCAGTTCAGTCCTGAGCGTCTTTTAAAGTCTACAGTGTGACGGGAAAACAAATGAATGTGCTTCCCCCTCTAACGTGCCAAATCCTGCCCATCTTCCCTCACCAAACCCACTTCCCTATCTCTGCCACCTGCAAAGCCAAACAAGCGCATCTACAAGCAGGAAAGGTTTAAAAAGAAACAAGCTGGGAGCCCGGGAGGCCTGAGCAGGGCCTGCCCCCAGAGCAGAGATTCCCTCCCAAGCCTTTCACGCTGCCTCCCCCACCCCCAGCTTCTCCACTGACCAAAGCCTGTGCCCAAATGGATGTCTGCAAGGCAGATTCCAGCACCACTGGGCAGTGCGTGAGCTCCAGGGAGTCGGCCTTTTTCTCTCCTCAGGGGCAAGACGTGGCCAGAGGGCAGGGACAAATCTAGCCAGAAAAATAATTTACTTAGATCCACAGTGATTCTCCAGGCAGCGAAGCCTGACTGGGCCTCACCTGGACAATCATCCAAGAGGCCTGACAGCAGGTAGCAAAAGTCCTCCCACCACCCATGGGGCAAGTTTGGGTGAACAGTGGGCTTCCGTGTGGACAGCTTCCAAGTGGGTGTGGATGTGCGCGAGGCCGGAGCTCCCAGGCCCGCGCAGCGCGGGCGCCCCTCTCTGGGTGAGAGTGGCTATGACTCTTAGCAGAACCCGAGAAAGTCTAGTCAAGTACGGATGTGAGAGCCAGAGCCGGCTCCAGGCGCCCTCCCCGACCGCCAACCCCAACATTTCGCGGCTGAGGGGTAAGCGACCTGGTCTTTGGGGACCGGCTCACAAGAAGCTGAAGGCCAGGGTGGACCAGAGAGTTCACCACTCAGGGACCTGCCAGGGAAGGAGTGCACTTTCCAAGAAGGGGCACCGGGGTAGCTGAGGCCAAGCCTTCAGAGGCTCAGTAGGTGGTTTAAAAACAAACAGCAAAAACAAAATAAAACAAAGCACAGAAACACGGCTGCAGGCTGAAGGTGCACTGGGTCCGGGCCTGGGCAGCAGGTGTTCGGGGTTCTCTTCCTCGGTGGGTATCAGCTTTCTGGCTAAATAAAAACGAGTCCCTGCTTGGACCCGTCCCCACCTGGCACACGGAACTTTCTAGGTTGTGGCTAGGGCTAAGCCTCAGAGGGGTGCTGTGGGTACAGTGGGAGGGGACCAGTTGAGACCACTGGCCTTCACTGGGTACCGGGTTCCCTCGAAGGTTCGCGTGCCTCCCCCGCAGGCTGCGAGCTGCAGCCCGACACCCGCGAAGTTCTCGGACTCACAGCACCCGCCAGGTCTGCCCCCCTCCCGGACTCGGTCGTCGGGAGCCGGTCCCGCCGCCTGCGCCGCGGCTGCCGCAGCCCGGGCGCTTGGCTGCAGCAGGGCGCGGGAAAGGGCACTTTGGCGCGGAGTGGGAACCAAGGGAAATGTGGCGGCGCGGAGCCTGGCGGAGACACTCCCTCCCTCGCCCCCGGGTACAAGCCTTCTCCCCTCCTCTTGGTCGCTCAACACCCTCCAGACCCCACCTGAGCCCTCCTGAAAAGAATGAGCGGGACCCCCACCCTGGGCACGGGCCCACCTGAGCCCCCCCAGTTCCGAGCGTCGGCGGAGGGGGGCAATTGGGAAGGTGGACCGCGGCCGCAGTCTCCCGGCGGCTCGGAAGCTGGGGGCAAGGGCTTCATTGGGAGAAAATGGGCGGGGGCAGGGAAGGGCAGACCTGGCAGACGCGCAAATGGGCAGGGGGCGCGCAGTTCTTCTCCAGCCCCCAGGAGTAGCGTGCCTAGCATAATAGGGAGCCTGGGGAGTAGGTCTCCGGGAAAGTTTATCGGGAAAAAGCCTGGCACCCGGGGATAGGAGGCTGGAGAAACTGAAGCCACAGTCCAGGTGCCCCGCAACCCCAGGCGGGAATGTCTGTCTCCCAGGCCCCCACACACGGCCAAGTTGCGGCTGGGATTGGGGGTAGCAACGAGGGTGTGGGTGGAGGTGAGGACGTGGCTGAAGGTGGGATGGAAGACAGAGGCAAGGATGAGGAGGGTGGGCAATTACGAGGATAGCGGGGTTAAGGCGGGGATAGGGTGGAGGAAGGAACCGAGAGCCGATCGAGAAAGGGTGGGCTCGGGGCTCGAGTTGGGGCGTGTGGAGATCGCCGGGTCCTAGTCGCGGCCGGACTTACCCGCGGCGGCCGACGCGCTGAGCAGCCCCCAGCCCAGCAGCAGCAGCAGCGGCGGCGGCGTTGGCGGCGGCAGGCGGCCCCAGCGGCTCCCGGCGCCCGGCACGAGCGCCGAAATCCCGGCTTCGCCGCGAGCCCTCCCCGCGGGGCAGCCGCAGCGCCCCTGCTCCCATCCCCGCGAGCGCGGCATGGCGCGGCCGGCAGCGCAGAGGGAGAGGCTCCGCTCGCCGCTGAGGAGAAAGGAGGTCAGGAGAGCTCTGGAGCTTTTTTCTGCTCGGAAAAAATCCCGGTACGCGGGAGCCCTGAGCTTCTGCGGCTGGAATGAACCAAGTGTCCGCCCGGCCGGGGAGAGGCGCGCTGCGCTCTCGGAAATGACTCGCTCCAATCCCGCTTCGCGGGGTTCGCGCCGGGGGGCGGGGGGGTGAATTATCCCCGGATTAATCACTCCGGAGCCGCTTCTCGGCCGCTCCAAAGGCTGGGGGAGGCGCAGCCAGGGAAAAATATTGGGGGGTGGGGGTTCCTTTTCACCGCCACCTCTACCTCCAGATAAACCACAAATTACATCTAAAGGGTTGTTTATTCCTGTTTGTTTTACAATTGACCAGTTTCTTTTAAGTTCAGTCCTCTGGTTTTCATTTATAAGATCACCTATTAATACACCCTCTGTACACACACATACACAGTGACACACACCCACACACACAGACACATACACACACGCCTCTTCTACGTTTGGAAATTGGAATACTGTCTGGGAAAGGTAACCAAAGAAGGACGCGGTTGTTGCCCAAGTCGTGGCTTTTACAAGCTGATCTTGGGTGGTGGCTTTGAACTTGCAATCTGGGCCCAGGGGGCGATGCTTACAAACCTCATCGCAATAGCCTCCTACCCCATCTCAGGAAAGAGGTTTGTCTGCGTAGACTGAGTCAGAATTGGAGGGCAGGTTGGGTGGGGGTGCTTACCCACCGGTTCATTTGACCCTGCGCGGTCCTATTCCTACCCTAAGACAAAATACTAGGCTAGAGGAAGGAGTGCCCGTGTGCGCGAGGGAGGGGGATTAGGTGGGGTTAGGTGGAAAGACGGTGCAAGAGTTACTTGTACAATTTATCCTCAAATTTAAATAGCCGGACCATGATTCTTCTTTCCCCCTCCCCCTCCCAGCCATGCCCCCAAACCCGGCGAGTTCCTCCCAATGGCGTGAGCCGCTCCCCACCTCTCCCCAGTAGCCGCTGTCTCCAGGCCCCAAGGGTTCAGCGTCGATCCCCACCCCCTCCCCCACCCCGACTCGGTCGCAGTCTCTGTCTGGTCTACCCTAGACTCCTCCGCCAGTCACGATGGCTCCTTCGCTGTCTACGCCAAAGTCTCGGCTATAGGGAAGAGACGCTTCGGAGAGGGAGAAGGCTAGAAGGGACCGAGAGGGGCAAGGCTCTTGCACCAGAAAGGCACCTGTCCATGGGCGCCCCCACCCCCCTTTCGGAAGCCATCCGAGAGAGGCTCCGAGCTCCAGGAGCAGCAACGCGTTCCTGGCATCTGTGTGGCCAAGGCAGCAGTGGACCGCGGGACTTGGATATTTCCGGGGAAGGGCGTAGAGAGGGGCTTTGGGTTAGGGATTCGGATTGGAAGGAGGGGCAGGGCCAGGGGAGTGTTGTCTTTACTCCCCACGAAAAACTTGCTCCCCAGGTCCACGCTTTGCTTTCGCAGCTCCCTGATGCGGGTCTTCCTCCCTCCCCCCCCCACCCCAAGTTGTTCCGGTTTCCCCGCATGAGCTCATCCCACAGCTGGGGAGCCAGCTCTGTGGCCCTGGGCGGGCTAGCCTGCTCAGAATCGCCGGCCCCATCCCCACCCCCAACACACTTGCTGGCCCGCCCCTCCCGACGCCGCCTCGTTGAGTGCCAAGAGCCAACCGAAGCAGCCAGAACTCTTCAGTGAAAGGCCCGCTTTATTTTCTTGGGGCAGCGAGGAGGGGGCTTTTCCCTTCCCATTGTCCAGACCCAGCCCCCGAAGGAGAGGGCACAGCCTTCCCATCAGCCCTGGAGAGGAGGGAGGGACTGGCTAGGCCAGGAGTATTGGTGGCCTTGGGGGCCCTTGGCTGGGCCTAACCTGGGGGTGAGCTCCTGACCCCTAATCTCCTGATCTCGACCCTCCCCTCTCTTGGAGGCAGGATTCTCCTCCAGAAAAAGGGTCTGGCAGAGATGCCCCTCCCTCCTTTGCAGCCCATAGCTGGGCAGAAGAGTCTGGGCTGCTCTCTAGTTCTGGCGCTCCAAGAGGATGGATTTTCCTCATGTCCTCACCCCCAAAACTTTTCTCTTGTGGTTGCAACGGGCAGATGGAACTTACCCCCACACCTTCCCTGGATTGCCATCCTTCTCCCTGGGGGCTGTGGAGGTAGGGGCACCTTTTTTATCCCGGTAGACAGCCCAGTTACTCACATCCTCCACCGATCCTGCTCTCTCTGATCTATTTGGGTCCAGATGCATCTACTGAAAGCCTCCTGAGCCCCAGGCCCTGAGCGATGCTGTGCTGTAGGGGCTGAGAGATGCACAGTGTGGGGTCCTGCTTTGGGAGAACACAGGGCAGAAGCCCACACGTAGCCTGATGCAGTCAGACAGCTGTAATCACCACGGCTGAATGAGGGGCATGCTACAGAGAGACATATCAGGCCAGTGAGCTATTCTTGAACTTGCAGGATTGGAAGACTAACATAAGGAGGGAAGCAGGATTTTGGCTGGCCCCTGGGGCCTGGATAAAGATCTTAACAAGGGAAAGATTCATTTACTCAACAAATATTTATTGAGCATTGTTACGTGCTGGATAATGAATATACACCTAGTGAACAGTCTCTGACTTGATGAAGGCAGGCAATAAATAAACCAATCAACATAAAGCTACTAGTTAAGGGCGCTATGAAGGGAAAGGTCATGGTGCTAGGAGAAAGAATACAGGATATAGTTTAGAGACATGTTCTGGGAAGGCCTCTCTGAGGTGGTAACCTTGAAGAAGGAGTCTAACATTAAGGCAGTTATACCAAGAGTTGGGGAAGGGTCTTTGGGTACAGAGAGCGTGGGCAAGGCTGCAAAAAGGAAAAGGGACCTGGAGAAGGAGGGTGGGGCTGGATCAATGGGAGCAATGGGAGATGCCTGGGAGACAGGGTCAAGAGGAGAGGCCAGATCATGCTGGGTCTTGAGATGGTAAGGAATTTGGGTTTTATTCTTAGGCAGTGGAATCTAGAAGGTATACTGATTTGTTAGGGCTGCTACCATGACAAAGTACCATAGACTGTGTCTTAAACAATATGTATTTTCTTGCTGTTCTGGAGGCTAGAAGTCCAAGATCAAGGTGTCAGTAGGGTTGGTTCTTTCTGATGCTTCTCTTCTTGTAGATGGCTGTCTTTTCCATGTGTTCACTATACACATCTGTGTCCAAATTTCCCCTTATAAGGACACCATTCCCCTCAGATTAGGGTCCATCCTAATGACCTCATTTTGACTTAATTGACTTTGTAAAGACCCTACCACCAAATAAAGTTACGTTCTGATGAGTTGGGGTCAGGGGGATGCAGTTTAGCCACCACCACCCCCGAAAGGTGGAGGCAGGAGAGAGAGCACAGATTTGTGACAGTCAGAATATATATAAAGAGCTAACGGCTCGGCGCCTGTGGCTTAAGTGGCTAAGGCGCCAGCCACATACACCTAAGGTGGTGGGTTCAAATCCAGCCCAGGCCCACCAAACAACAATGATGGCTGCAACCAAAAAATGGCTAGGTATTGTGCTGGGTGCCTGTAGTCCCAGCTACTTGGGAGGTGGAGGCAGGAGATTTGCTTAAGCCCAGGAGTTGGAGGTGCTGTGAGCTGTGATGCCACAGCTCTCTACCCAGGGGGACAGCTTGAGGCTCTGTCTCAAAAAAAAAAAAAAAAAAAAGAGCTATCTATTAAGACTGTTATGGTCAGGGAGTGGCTTACATCTTTGGGAGGTAGAGGCAGGAGGGGCACTTGAGGCCAAGAGTTCAAGACCAGCCTGAGCAACATAGGAAGACCCTGTCTGTACGCCCCTCCCCCCAAAGTAGAAAACTTAGCCTTGTGTGCACATATAGACTCAGCTGATCAGGAGGTTGAGGCACGATGATTGTGTGAGCCCAGGAGTTGGATATTGCAGAGAGCTATGGTCATACCACTGCACTCTCACCCAGGCAACAGAGCAAAATCCTGCCTCAAAAACAAATAAAAAACCTGTGTATGGCATGGCTGCTTTAGCAGCAGTGTCTGGAAAGATGAACAGAAGAGGTGGATTTTCATTCCTAGGAAAGAGAAGCCAAGTGACACAGCCTGGCATGCATCTGGCTTCTCTTTGGGGAATAGACACAAGGGAAGGGGCATTGCTTGGGAAACTACTGCAATAGTCTGAGCTAGGAGAGATGTGGGCAAAGGCAGGGATAGGGGCCCTGGAAATATCGGCAGCACAACAGAGAGGCAGGAGACAGAGATAATAATAGCCCTCCTCAGCCAGCCTCAGAGAGTGGAGCTCTCAGGCCAGCCCCCAGGGCTGGCTCCCTGCCTGCCCCTTCAACAGGCAGCCATGGGTGAGGTGTCTTTACAATATCACATTACAAAAAGCCCAATGCAGTCTAGTGACTCACCAAGATAAGCCTAATATCCAGATAAGATCAGAGTTTGTTTTAGAAAGAAAACAAGGCCTGATGCTCTAGAGGACTTGGCATCATTCAAGTAGGAACTGTAGGCTCGATGCCCTGAAGTTTTCATTCTGACCCAAGAAAAGGATCAAAGAGCCTCCTTCTGTTTTTTTCTTTTTTTAGAGACAGAGTCTCACTTTATCTCCCTCAGTAGAGTGCCATGGCATCACAGCTCACAGCAACCTCCAAGTCTTGGGTTAGGTGATTCTCTTGCCTCAACCTCCAGAGTTGCTGGGACTACAGGCACCCACCACAACACCCAGCTAGATCAAAGAGCCTTCTAAAGCCAAGGGAAAGAGAGAGGGAGCAAATGGAGGACTCCAATGACATGAGGGCAAAGTGGAGGCCACAGGGCAGGTAAGACTGCAGAAAAGGGCCACAGGACCACGGCAGGCTCAGAGGCAAAGCATAGGACCTGAGCTGGGATAGGAATTCTTAAATCATGAGCATGACCAGGCAGAAACAAAGCATCTCCTAAGGGTGAGGCTGTCAGTAGAAATGGC